CAACACAGTTAACCGATAGAATTGATAAATTAAATGGTAATTGTTTGAAATGTGCCGAGTTTGATTGCTGATTTCCGGATCGGATGTTGTTGAGTTCGCGATAAAATAATTGAGCACGTTGTGATGTTTAAAGCGCGTTTAATATATAAAAAAGAAATCACATTTACAGAAGTCGGTTGATTAAATATAATGAGTGAACACGCGTCGCAGAGTTTAACCCGAGTTTTACCTCACGTGATTGTTCCGATGATGATCACGATGTTATTGATCGTGACCGTTACACAAGAGTGTGATTTAAACTACCGAGATTCACAGAAACTCGGCCCGTGAAATTATAATAATCACACGGAATTTGAGTTCGATTGTCCCTTAGCGATAACTCAAAAAGAGTGAGAGTAACAGGATCGCGAGTACAAGAGATTTGAGAGTAAATCCGAACACGTCCGCACTAAGTAACACCTTAATGAGCAGTAAGGATCGTTGGCCGTGATAAATGGCTAATCCTTCTTCCTGCGCAATCGATATTAATAGCGCGTGATGCGCATTGACGTGACTCATCGTGATTTGTGCAATCGATCCTCGCATCGATCGCGATGATTCTAGAGTTTTCCATCGAGTGCGCCTTTACCCTGGAGTTTTCATGCGAGTGCGCCTTTGGCGGTATATCCTAAAGGCTCTTTCTCAAACAGTAATAATTATCGGTCATGAAAATTTAATATGCGGATGGCTTTAATACAACGCGAATTATGGCAGCACGTGACTGGCGAAGTAATAGAACCGCAACTAGAAGGTGAAGCTAAAGAAGTATTCAAACGCAAAGAAGAAAAGGCATTAGCGGCAATCGCATTAAGCGTTGAGCCTGAACACCAAGTTCATATAATTGATTGTAACAAGGCATCGGAAGCATGGGACATGTTAACCAAAGTTTTTGAACCGAAATCGAGACCTAGAATACTACAATTAAAAAAGCAAATGGTTTCAATAAAACTCGAACGAGATGAAATAATGATGTCATATTTAGCCAGAATTAAAACGTGCAGCGACAGTCTAAATGAAGCAGGATATGATGTACGAGACGATGAAATAGCTTATGCCATGTTATGTGGTTTGCCTAGCAGTTATGAGAGAATCATAATGGCTCTGACAAATTTAGATGATGATAAATTTAAACCATCTGAAATAAAGGGCATATTGCTTAGCGAATACGAGAGAAGAACAGCAAAAGAACCTAATCATACTGAAGAGAAGAAGGAAGCTTATCATCAAGTAAAGGAATCGCATTACCATCCTAAGGAAACGACATGGAGCATAAAAGAGAAGAAAGGAAATGCTTCAATTGTGGAAAGGTAGGACTCCTTTGTCACAATGTTGTGCCAACACTTGTCGAGCGAGGGTTCAGCATACCAAGGCAAACTGGAGAAGTACCACATCGACTCAGCGTAAGCATAAAGATGCGTTCTTATTAGAAATAAATAGTATTCAACTAGATGATTGTTGGTTAATAGATAGCAGTGCGACTCATCATGTATGTAAACATAAAGATTGGTTTGTAAATTATAAAAGTATAGTCGATGAGAAAATTTATTCAGCAAATGATGAAGCAGAGAACAATTTAAAAGCGATAGGCGTAGGTGACATAAATATAGAAACATGTGTAAATGGTAATAATTTTTCCATAACTTTGCATGACGAATATCACCTTCCAAATATAAGAAGAAATTTACTGTCGATGTCACAAATTGAGAGAAAAAGTAAGCGATTAGTAGTAGATAACAATAAAATTAAGATTTTAAATAAGGAAACTGGTATGATAGTGGGGGAAGCATATAGTAAGAATGGCTTATATATCGTTAAAGCTGATGTTATTAAAAACAAAACAGAAACGTATGTAGTACAAAATAGTAAAAACATAAAAGATAGTGACAAGTGGCACCAAAGATTTTGTCATGTAAATGTAAGAAACATTAAAGAATTAGCACATAAAAATTTAGTTCGTGGGTTAGAGAACACAAGCATGTATGATATTCACTGTGATGGTTGTAGTATTGCCAAATCAACCAAATCACCTTGTAAAAGTATGCGTAATAGACAAACAAGAGATTTACTGCAATTAGTTCATTCTGACTTATGTGGACCATTGCCAACGAAGTCTATTGGAGGATCTAGATATTTTCTCACTTTAACTGATGATTATTCTAGAAAAACAACTGTTTATTGTCTTAAAAGTAAAGATGAAGTTGTGAGTTACGTACGTAGATATATAGCTCGAGCAGAAAGAGAGACTGATAGGAGAATAAAGAGAATCCGAACCGATAACGGATTAGAATACTGTAATAAAGAAATGGCAAGCATGTTTGATACCCTAGGTATAAAGCATGAACGTACAAATGTATATACTCCTCAGATGAACGGTGTTGCCGAAAGAATAAATAGAACACTGTTAGAACTTGTACGTGCAATGTTAAATACATCGAAGCTACCGGAAAGGTTTTGGGCAGAAGCGTTATTGACTGCATGTTATATAAAAAATAGAGTCATGCATTCAGCAATAGGAGATAACGTGCCGGAAGGTGTATGGACTGGTAATACACCAAGTGTTAAACACTTAAGAATGTATGGATGCTTGGCATACGCGCACTTACCGAAAGGAGGGAAATTAAGCTTCAGAGCAAAAGAGTGTATATTTGTGGGCTATTCGTCGCAAACGAAAGGATATAGATTGTGGGATCCAATTAATGATGACATTATAGAAACAAAACACGTCGAGTTTGTAGAAGGCGTAAACGGGTACGAACATATTTATAATAAAAGAACGTATGAAATTCCGTTAGATGATAATGAAAAATATGTAGATGCAACGAATGATAAAGTAGAGTTAAAGCTAGATGAAGACGATGATGAATGTGACAGAAAAGATAGTTCAGATTTAGTTCACGCGAGCACAACCGTATATGAGAAAGTGAAAGATATAAACAGTGAGGGTCAAAAATGTGATGACAATGTTCAACAGGATATATCTGAAACTAAGGTATATAAACGTACACCACGACGAGGCAAAGTAATTAGAAATCCATGGGGTAGGTTAGGTAAACCCAAAAATGTTGAAATAAATCTAGCAGAGATAACTGAACCGACTACATATGAACAAGCAATTTTGTCGCCCCAGTGCGAAGAATGGAAGTTAGCTATGGTTGAGGAAATTGAAAGTTTAGAAAGTAGAAACACTTGGGAAATTATAGATACAGCTGACAACATAAAATGTATTGGTAGTAAATGGGTATTCAAAGCAAAAACAGATCATGATGGAAAGATCGTCAGATATAAAGCAAGAGTAGTAGCTCAAGGTTGTAGTCAAAAGAAAGATATAGATTATTTCGAATCGTATGCACCAGTTGCAAATATATCGTTAATAAGATTGCTGTTATCAATATCTGTATGTCAAGGTTTAGAAGTACATCATTTAGATATTAAATGTGCGTATTTATACGGTGAATTAACCGAAAAGGTGTATATGAGATTACCTCCCGGATATAACGAATGTAGTAATAAAATAGCGAAGTTAAACAGACCAATTTACGGTTTAAAACAGTCAGGTCGTAACTGGAACAATGCAATTGATAAGTTCCTGATTGAAAATAAATTTAAAAGATTAAACAGTAGTAACTGCGTTTATACATATGATAATGATCTCATATTAACAATCTATGTAGATGATATAATATTAATGAGTAAAAATAGGATTAAGATGAATGAAGTTAAAGCTATATTAACATCGCGATACGAAATAAGAGATTTAGGTAAAGCGACATACTTATTAGGTATAAGTATTAGTTATGCAGAGAAAACCATGAAGCTTTCGCAGCAATTACATATACGCAAACTACTAGACGAATATAATATGAATGAATGTAAAAGTGTGAAGACTCCGATCGAATCAGGCATGAAGTTAACTAAGCATGACAGTCCGTCGAACGAACTGGAAACAGAGGAAATGAAAAATGTGCCATATAGACAATTAATAGGATCAATAATGTATATAGCTTTAGGTACGCGTCCTGATATAATGTTCTCGGTATCAAAACTAGCACAGTTCTCATCAAACCCGGGAAAAGTACATTGGCTGCAATCTAAAAGAATATTGAAATATTTATCAACAACTAAAACCAAAGTATTAACATTTAGTCCCGGTAACAATGAAATAGAAATATTTAGTGATGCGGATTGGGCAACAGACGCAGATGATAGACACTCATATAGTGGTATGTTGACGTTTTTAGGAGGGAATCCTATTACTTGGAAGTCAAATAAACAAAAGTCAACTATGGAAGCTGAATACGTAGCGTTAGAAAATGCGGTAAAAGAAGCGATGTGGATGAGCATGTTGTTTAAGGAAATGCGATGCGAGCTCAATATCGAAACACCATGCGAGCCATATATCATTAGATGTGACAATAGGTCAGCCATTGATTTCACAATAAATAGAATAGAAAGGTCAAAATCTAAACATATAGATATAGCGTATCACATTACTAGAGAAAAACATGAACAAGGATTGATACGATTAAAGTATGTCTCATCAGGTGATAATGTGGCTGATATATTTACGAAAGTGTTGCCGTATAAAGTAGCTTTAAGTCATGTAGAACGAATGAAATTGCGTGACGACTGAGGATTGATATGAATGCAAATTTGAATGCTCGACTGAAGTGGGGGATTGTTAGTTGTCTGTCGACCATTCAAATTACGAGCGTATATTATAGAGGCGCTAGTGTATTTTAACGGATGATCAACCCATCTGAACGATCGTTACACTCTCTCAAAAATGGATCTCGAGATGATACGCAATTCTGTACACGTGGAAGTATTCAATATATATGTATCACTATAATTAAGTAATAAATATAGTTATTAGCAAATACTCTGCAACA